TAAGTCTCAGTAACACAAAATGCATGGGCTCGTTGTTTTTTCCAAATGTTATCCTTGCTATGAATGACTGAGCATTTTATGGTGTACAAACAGCGCTCTCTTTAGAACAGTTTAAGTGATTTTTGTATTAAGGTAATGAGATGCAGGATTCAGTTTCATTTTTTGGCAGTGGCTTGCCTATTATCCCAGCATATGTTGAATAGGGTGTCCTTTCCCCACTTTGTTTTTGTGTGCTTTGTCAAAGACCAGTTGGCTGTAAGTATTTGGATTTATTTCTGGGTTCTCTATTCTGTTCCATTGGTTTACATGCCTATTTTTATACCAGTACCATGCTGTTCGCTGACTATGGCCTTGTAGTATAGATGTGAAGTTAGGTAACGTAATGCCTCCAGATTTGTTCTTTCTGCTTAGTCTTGCTTTGGCTGTGCGGGCTCTTTATTGGGTCCGTATGAATTTTTGAATTATCCTTTCTAGTTCTGTGAAAAATGATGATGATGATATTTTGACGGGAATTGCTTTGAATTTGTAAATTGCTTTTGGCATTATGGTCATTTTTACAATATTGAATTTACCCATCCATGAGCATGAGCATGAGCATGAGGTGTGTTTCCATTTGTTTGTGTCATCTGTGATTTCTTTCAGCAGTGTTTTTTAGTTTTTGCGCCTTGTAGCAGGCTTTTTTCCATACGTTACAAAGGAATTATAGATTATATTCCTGGTTATTATTTCTTTATTAAAAAGACGCCATGTTGTAGGGTTGATTCTATGAAGACATACACTCACTTGCATTGTTGTTGGTGTACATGTTGTATGGAATGATATAAGCAGACCAATTATTATTTGAGGTCTATATAATTTATATTCAACTATTTGACATTGATCATTTTAGGAGTTTATTTGGAGTAGATATAATTATAGGGAGTTTTACCAGGATAATACGATCATAACATACAGAACATCAAACAGTTTGAAACATATCCTCATTATATATATATATTACGCGAAAAAAAACATAGGAGAGATGGCCCATATATATATATCCCATTAAATATCATTTTAACTTATATAGTAATTGAATATATTGCTCTGAGTTAAGACATGTCAGATAGCATATGAGAATGATAGAAGTGGTAGAAGAGAGCATTTTGTTCTTGTTGCCAGTTCTCAGAGGAAATGCTTTGCAATTTTTCCCTGTTGAGTATTACATGTTGGCTGTGGGTTTGCCATAGACTGCGTTTTATTCCCATAAAGGCAAAGGTGCCCTTCTTGTATATTTTGCATGAGGGTTTTTATCATAAAGGGATGCTGGATTTTGTCAGATGCCTTTTGTGTGTCTACCAAGATGACCATGTGATTTTGCTTTTAATTCTGTTTATGTGGTGTATTACATTTATTGACTTGTCTATGTTAAACCAGAAGACCTCGTGTGTTCTCAGGAGCTACCACGTGCCATGGCCCCTTTGGGACAACTTGAGGCTGCATCCTGGGGAAGAAGAACGCCTCCTGTCCCTAGTGCTGACTGCTGAGGACAACTTCGATGTGATTTCTCCACAGCCCAGCTTCTTTGGGGCATTTTTCCTTCATGGTGAGTACAGAAGATTTCATTTTCTGGAATGTTCTGTGTATTCCTGCTAGGTTCCCACTCCTTTTCTTTTTCTCTCTTGCCATCTTAGTATTGATTTTACAGTAGTACTCATTCCTTAAGGGCTTTTGAGGTTGCAAAGTGTAGGAGGCTTTAGGGCTGTTTCTGAGAGAAACTCCCCATGTAGATGGAGAGAGAGGAAGGCTCTGTCTGTGGGAGGAAGGGGAAGCCCGGCCCGGGTCAGGCCCCAGTTTGGCTGTCTTGCATCCAAGCCTTAGATGGAAGGAAAGGATCCAACTTAACCTGCAGAGTTTGGTGATTTTTTAAATTGTTTTTGTTTTTTTGTTTTGGAGATGGGGTCTGGCCCTGTTGCCCAGGCTGGAGTGCAGTGCAGATCTCAGCTCACTGCAAACCCCATTTTCTGGGCTCAAGGGATTCTCCAGCTACAGCCTCCACAGTAGCTGAGCCTGTGCCACCATGTCCAGCTATTTTTAAAAAAATATTTTTGGTAGAGACGGAGTTTTGCCATGTTGCCCAGGCTCATCTCGAACTCCTGAGCTCAAAGCAATCCTCCTGCCTCAGCTTCCCAAAGTGCTGGGATTATAGGCGTGAACCAGTGTGCTTGGTCTGCTGAATGTTTAAATCTCTGTCCCTGCTGTCAGGACATAGGGGTCACTTTTCTCCACTCCATGCAAGCGCCTGCCTAATTCTCTCCCTCTACTCATGGCCACCTGACCTGGGGCAGGGAGCTTGCGTGTGTGGTTTAATGTTCTCTTTGCAGAAATGTCTGTTCAGGGTCTCTGCTCAGTTTTGGGTGGATCATTTGTTTTTTTCTTGCTACCTAGTCCTGTTAATATATGGCATATTCTCCATAACAATCCCTTAGCCAATATGTGATTCCTCAAAACCTTGTCCCACCCTTTCTCTTTGGGTTCATTGTTTCCTTTCTTTTGCAAAAATTTTTCACTTTGATTTAGCCATTCCTTTTTTTTTTTATCGCCACGCATGGTGACTCATGCCTGTAATCCAAGCA